CCCATTTCAATGCCCTGGCTGAGGGAAGGAGGTTCTCACCCAAGATTTGACGGTACATGGCCCCGTCCATCGTCCCTTTGATGCGGTGAAGTTGTCCTCTTCCCTTAGCAGAAAAACACCCCCAAAGCATAATGTTTCCACCTCCATGTTTGACGGTGGGGATGGTGTTCTTGGGGTCATAGGCAGCATTCCTCCTCCTCCAAACACGGCGAGTTGAGTTGATGCCAAAGAGCTCCATTTTGGTCTCATCTGACCACAACACTTTCACCCAGTTCTCCTCTGAATCATTCAGATGTTCATTAGCAAACTTCAGACGGGCATGTATATGTGCTTTCTTGAGCAGGGGGACCTTGCGGGCGCTGCAGGATTTCAGTCCTTCACGGCGTAGTGTGTTACCAATTGTTTTCTTGGTGACTATGGTCCCAGCTGCCTTGAGATCATTGACAAGATCATCCCGTGTAGTTCTGGGCTGATTCCTCACCGTTCTCATGATCATTGCAACTCCACGAGGTGAGATAATTGCATGGAGCCCCAGGCCGAGGGAGATTGACAGTTCTTTTGTGTTTCTTCCATTTGCGAATAATCGCACCAACTGTTGTCACCTTCTCACCAAACTGCTTGGCGATGGTCTTGTAGCCCATTCCAACCTTGTGTAGGTCTACAATCTTATCCCTGACATCCTTGGAGAGCTCTTTGGTCTTGGCCATGGTGGAGAGTGGAATCTGATTGATTGGTTGCTTCTGTGGACAGGTGTATTTTATACAGGTAACAAACTGAGATTAGGAGCACTCCCTTTAATAGTGTGCTCCTAATCTCAGCTCGTTACCTGTATAAAAGACACCTGGGAGCCAGAAATCTTTCTGATTGAGAGGGGGTCAAAAACGTATTTCCCTCATTAAAATGCAAATCAATTTATAACATTTTTTACATGCGTTTTTCTGGATTTTTTGTTGTTGTTATTCTGTATCTCACTGTTCAAATAAACCTACCATTAAAATTATTGACTGATCATTTCTTTCAGTGGGCAAACCTACAAAACCAGCAGGGGATCAAATACTTTTTTCCCTCACTGTACATTTGCTTACAGCTCCTGGTAGAAGCTGCCCTTATAGAGCTAGGACCAGCCTATCCTCCCCAATTAGACGGGCAGACAAACAGACAAACAGACAGACAGACTGACACACACACAAGAAATGTAATGAAAGGCAGGCAAGGCAACTAACCATTTTTTGCATGTTAGCAGCCATGGGGGTGACCCGGCTGCGCAGCCTATTGTGCTGTGTGACAATCAGAAAATGCTCCTTCACCCCAAGTCCTGGAATAAAGAAAAGCACACAATTATTTAGGACAGGTCCCCATGGCAATGGAATGCAAGTGTCTGTAAGGGGGGAAAGGGGGTTGGCTGAATGTTCTGTTGATACAGTAGCACTCCACAACATTAGGACAGTGTATATCCACAGCCTGTATATGCGACAGGACATACACATTTGTTTCGCCTATCATTGGAGAACAAATATCTCTCTAATGTTTAGGTCTAATATAGCCTTCCTGTTGTATCTGCTGCTAAAGTAAATGACATCGCACAGTGAAATATTCTGCATTAATTAGAATAGTTTGAGGATTCTTTGCAAGGCATATAGAAAGCACGAAGTCCCTCCCTATACTGTAATCATCTTATATTGCGTGCATCCGCCACCCTGCTGTTTTCCCCTGACCGGTGCTGAGCCGAACAACACACAACAGGCGACGCGCGCTCTTACCGCTCTCAGGTGAATAAGCGTGGCCCGGTTTCTCCGTGATTATCCTATTCGAGCGGGTGCTGTACAGGGTCTGGAGGTTCACCATGAAAAACAGAAGCAGACACCAGGGTCCCGTTTGAGACCCCATGGCTACTGAAGTAAATAGTGTCAAGTACTCTAACTCCTTGCGGACAAGTAGCTCCCTCTTTAACCCTCCTCTTCTCTCTCTCTCTTTCTCTCGCACTCACTCTCTCTCTCCCCTCCCACGAGTTGTCAACCTTTTGCAACTGTTCTTATCCACTCACGCGCACACATTTGGCCCAAGCCACTCTGGCTACTCAAACTTTAATTGAATGAATGATACACGATCAGCGATAAACAAGGACAACCACATTTCTAAAAACTTGGCTGAGCTTTCAACCACACAGTATTGAGTCTCATATGTGAAAATGTTTCGTCTGTTCCTCAATGTTGTAAATGTCAACCATTCCCAAGGAAAATTAAGTGAGACAATTAAACTCAATCAAGTAGTTTACAGAGAATATAGGCCTACCATAACGGACTATATCTGTGAAACTTAGTTTTACATGAAATAATGTAGGCTGATGTATAGCCTAGGTAAAACAATCAAGAAAATTTTTATGAAAAGCCAAAGGTGACTGTCAGTAGACATATCTGAGTGATCCCAGCTTTGGTGTAGGGCAAGCTATAGACAACAGTGGGCTACATCCGTGTTAGCAAGTCAATTACTGTAACCTAAACGCTTTATAAACAACAGATACAGTACTTGAGAGATAGACAAGAAGCCCAAACCAAGCAGACATCAGTGCCACTGATCCATGAGAATAACATCTCCAACTTCTACAGACTCACAATGAAAATATTTATGTTTCACTGAAGGCCACAGACGTAACAAATATCTGACATGTGGCACAATCTTTTTTTCCACAATCTTTTTTTCAGTGCAGGTTTCCCAAAGAACAGATATTGTGTGTGTGTGTGTGTGTGTGTGTGTATTTGATGAGACTGGGCTACCAATTACTGGCATTTCAGTCCTAACTATGGCACTGATTTGGAGAAACCTGCACCGCTTGTCCTATTCCCTCAGGATAGGTAACTATAGTGATTGCAGGGTGTAGCGCTGAAAGAAATTACTCAGTCTGCCTTTATGCAATAGTGGGTAACACTGTGAGAGAGACCAAATAATCAGAGGTTTTCCTATGCCAGCTTTATATGGCTAATCTCTGCAAACACAGACTACAGCTATAGAATGAGAGAAGTTTCAATAATCAGCAATGCTCACACACCATGAAGAGAAATCCCACCCATCTTTTTAAACATGAATCCTTTGCAGTAGATCCCCACAAAGGTAGCAAGACAATATAATCACCACAGTGAAACTATGAAACGTCTGCTGAACAGAAGAGTTCTGATACCCAATCATTCTCGAATCATCACATCAAAACCCAACTTTTCCAACTATACCCCCTGCCGCATGACACGCAAACAGCACATCAAATGTCTTGCCCATTAGTAGCGAATAACTGGCATAAATGTAATCAAAAACGACATTTCACAATAGATCCCTCCAAACTGAGTCTTCTCAAGACTCTATGATTTCATTTGAGGGTTTATACTGTATGTGTGTGTTCCCCACAGAAACCCAAGGACAGGGGGTATGGGGTGTATATTGGGGAACCAGTTTCAACAGAACCTCAACTAGCTGTACTGTTCTGCTTCTCATTACAGAAGGATCTCACAGGATTGAGAGCCATCTCGTGTTTCTGTATTAAATTCTCAAAGATATAAAAGAACAGACATTGTGGATTGAGACCCCCATGCAGTGAGGCGCCAATCAGTCACGAACCACTCACTGGTCATGGGCTATCAATTCTACATGCTGCTCTCTTCCCATTATCCTCCCATAGTGACATCACCTACTAGGATTAGGGAAGGTACTGTAGTAGCGCTGAGTCACCTCAGTGAATAGGACAGAGATTCAGACATGGGGGTGATGCTTACTCTGCATTGCTTACATCACATCCTGGGCCTAGTGAAGGGCTTTCAGTGGGATGGGGTACTGTACATGGGTGAGTAGGTGGGTGGGTGGTAGTGGGGAAGTTACTGTTGTGTGACTGTTGTCTTCAGTGCTGTCCTGGGGGATTTGAGACCATCATGTCAATGAGTCGTGAAAGAGACAGAGATTTTACCCAAGAGGACGGGTGCGGAAGTCCCTGTGATGAGTGATGCAGAACCACAAGCCCTGGAATAGAATGGAATGCAGAAGGGATAAACGTGTATCATAATGGACAGTGGACCTTCAAGCAGTGGGATAGAACTATAGCTGAGCAAGCAGGCAAGCAAGGAGCAGTAAAGTAGAAGCCAGTAAATGCAGTACAGTTCAGTGCAGTCACAGTGGGTCTATACTACGTGGGTGGGTGGTTGTGAGGGAGGAGAGGTACAGGTGGAATCAGATCTAACTCACTGACAGGTCTGTGATGGCCCCAGTGTGGGGAATGAAACAGGACTCCTGATGCTTCAGCAGTTGGTGATTGAATATCTGGAGCTGATTATGGCATGAGAACATTTTTATGGTATGAGAACTATCACCAGGCTGGGGGTATGACAGAACAACTAACCTCAGCTATGCGTCCATGGTGGTGGGGGTGTCAGGTGTGTTCTGCTGGGGAGATGAGAACAGAACCGTTGAATTAGATGATGGCAAGGTGATGAACACTTACTCCCTGCAGAGGGCACACCTTCCCCACTTTCTATGCTCATTCAACAGTACACTTTTACTCTCAGGATGTCTGCCATTCAAGATAACAGAAAAACACATTGGAACACAGACTCATTATCCATTAGGCTACTGTAATTACCTGGTAATAAGCACAAAGCTGAGTTAATTCAACAAAATGTGTGTGCTGTTCAAGTAGGTTACATGTATCCCTGTGTTACATAGATATTTCCCTAATCAAAGATGGGCCTACATTTCCTCATAAATCATGAGAAGATGAAACCTGTATGAGTTGTGTTTCACATTACCCGGATTGTCACCTGCCCACAGTGCCCACTTCCCAGTGGAGCTTGCCTAAATCCATCCAAGCTTCCTGCTAAATGTGGTTCTCTCCAGTTTACAAATTCCACATCTGAGATGCTTTCATGAGGGAGGAAATTTGCCATGTGCCTTCCAAAAAAAGGAAAAGAGTTTGAAAAAAATACACATGCCTACGCAATGGTTATTTTGTAAAATGTGGTCAACAGGTCTTCTAGTCCCATAACCTGATTGGTTCTCGAAGAGTAAACCCTACATTCCATAAAGTTTCGCTTTTGCAACTTGTCTGACATGTGAATGAATTAATAGCTTTTCTCACAAATACCACTGAGGTGCTTATAAGCGCATTTTACGCACTGGAAATTCACTGTACCCGGAAGATACCCAACCCAGCGCGCTTGGGGAGTGAGTGTATTCTACGCAGTACAGGATTAACTGAAAATGATTTGGATGCACGCTGTCATTGTGTTCCTGTGTCTTTGTCCAATCCACGCTGCATTTGGGCAGGTGAGTGTTTCCTGCGCTTGTCAGTATCATGGGGGCACCTTGGGCACTATTAAGAGACAACATATGGTGTTTCTTGGATTTATTTTGCACAGCTGGTTGGTCCAATCAAAAATGTAGCTGATTTAAAAGCACATATCACACTACATATCACAGAGTAAAACGTAAAATCTAAGTAAATTACCGTATTTGATAATGGGTTACCATTATAATCTATGAGTGTTACGATTTAATGTAGGCTATTGTGGTTTCTGACATGCTTTAGGTAGTCCATTAACGTAATACACATTTCCAGACCAATTCATTATCACATATAGCCTCAGGACATAGTTAAAATTCTTGCCATTATCTGTAATGACCTGAAAAGACAGTGGGTGAATATCACACAAGATTTACAACTGAGAAAATAGACCTGAGAGAAAGGTTGTCTGAATGCCTTTTTCATGGACAGGCTTTAATTCAACATCTAACACTGAGGGAAGCAGCATTGATGTCTGGGTGTTGTTGAAGGTCACAATGCATTAAGCTGAAGTGACAATCTCTTGTCAAAGTCAGGAGCCTGCAAGTCCAGCTATAAGGTCATTATCACTGCATCATGACATGGACAGATACCCATTGATAGCACTGGTGTTTGGTCGACCTCAATTCCCAGGCAAGCTGCACAAACAATGACTAAGGCCCCTTGCATGCATGTCCAGACACCGTGAGGCCCATCACTATAAATAGACCCAACACCTCTGACGTGTTTCAGCACAAAACTGCTAAACCTCTACCTTGTCCAAGGGCAAGGGTCTATATTACTGCAGGCTGGTGTGTGTGTGTGCATGCTATGCTGTACTCTTTCTGTTCTTCAGTTAGAAATAAATGTGGAATGTCAAATTGGGACTCAATTTTGTTTTTGTCCACATTTAGTTGAGATCATGATGTACTGTATGGTAATGAGCTGTGTGAAAGAGGAGTCTGTCCAGGTCTCATTAGTGATCCTTGGCTTGTTCTTGTCATGGCACAACTCACACTGCAGAACTGAAGCCATGCAGTGATTATACACTGCTAAAAAAAATTAAGGGAACACTAAAATAACACATCCTAGATCTGAATGAATGAAATAATCTTATTAAATACTTTTCTTTTACATAGTTGAATGTGCTGACAACAAAATCACACAAAAATAATCAATGGAAATCAAATGTATCAACCCATGGAGGTCTGGATTTAGAGTCACCCTCAAAATTAAAGTGGAAAACCACACTACAGGCTGATCCAACTTTGATATAATGTCCTTAAAACAAGTCAAAATGAGGCTCAGTTGTGTGTGTGGCCTCCACGTGCCTGTATGACCTCCCTACAATGCCTGGGCATGCTCCTGATGAGGTGGCGGATGGTCTCCTGAGGGATCTCCTCCCAGACCTGGACTAAAGCATCCGCCAACTCCTGGACAGTCTGTGGTGCAACGTGGCGTTGGTGGATGGAGCGAGACATGATGTCCCAGATGTGCTCAATTGGATTCAGGTCTGGGGAACGGGCGGGCCAGTCCATAGCATCAATGCCTTCCTCTTGCAGGAACTGCTGACACACTCCAGCCACATGAGGTCTAGCATTGTCTTGCATTAGGAGGAACCCAGGGCCAACCGCACCAGCATATGGTCTCACAAGGGGTCTGAGGATCTCATCTCGGTACCTAATGGCAGTCAGGCTACCTCTGGCAAGCACATGGAGGGCTGTGCGGCCCCCCAAAGAAATGCCACCCCACACCATGACTGACCCACCGCCAAACCGGTCATGCTGGAGGATGTTGCAGGCAGCAGAACGTTCTCCACGGCGTCTCCAGACTCTGTCACGTCTGTCACATGTGCTCAGTGTGAACCTGCTTTCATCTGTGAAGAGCACAGGGCGCCAGTGGCGAATTTGCCAATCTTGGTGTTCTCTGGCAAATGCCAAACGTCCTGCACGGTGTTGGGCTGTAAGCACAACCCCCACCTCTGGACGTCGGGCCCTCATACCACCCTCATGGAGTCTGTTTCTGACCGTTTGAGCAGACACATGCACATTTGTGGCCTGCTGGAGGTCATTTTGCAGGGCTCTGGCAGTGCTCCTCCTGCTCCTCCTTGCACAAAGGCGGAGGTAGCAGTCCTGCTGCTGGGTTGTTGCCCTCCTACGGCCTCCTCCACGTCTCCTGATGTACTGGCCTGTCTCCTGGTAGTGCCTCCATGCTCTGGACACTACGCTGACAGACACAGCAAACCTTCTTGCCACAGCTCGCATTGATGTGCCATCCTGGATGAGCTGCACTACCTGAGCCACTTGTGTGGGTTGTAGACTCCGTCTCATGCTACCACTAGAGTGAAAGCACCGCCAGCATTCAAAAGTGACCAAAACATCAGCCAGGAAGCATAGGAACAGAGAAGTGGTCTGTGGTCACCACCTGCAAAACCAGTCCTTTATTGGGGGTGTCTTGCTAATTGCCTATAATTTCCACCTGTTGTCTATTCCATTTGCACAACAGCATGTGAAATCAGTGTTGCTTCCTAAGTGGACAGTTTGATTTAACAGAAGTGTGATTGACTTGGAGTTACATTGTGTTGTTTAAGTGTTCCCTTTATTTTTTTGAGCAGTGTATAATTGAACAAGGTCAGCCAGAGTATTATAAGCTACAGAACACTTTTCCTTTTAATGCAAAACCTTTCAGCATCACATAATTCACTTAGAACAATCTAAAATCCTTGGATTAGATCACCATGCTACTTTGGCCTTCATTGCACTGTACACCTCTCAAATTCAAAGAGCAGCTCAAAACTTACTGAAGGAGACTATAGGTATGTTACCTAGGCACACCAAGATAATGTCACAGACACATGAAATGCAAACACATGAAATGTTTTGCAGTGGAGGCAGAAAGAGGACATTATCGCTGGGGCACACAAACAGCAGCCTCTCCCTCCCTCCCTCCCTCCCTCCGTCCTGACTGATGTCTCTCCAGCAGCCCAGCTCCCTGCTCCAGTCTCAATCAGCCAGGTGTTTTCACAGGATGACCAAATATTGACTTTTCTTACATAACTTCTGCCGGATGAAAACATTAATTGGCTTTCTGAAAACATTCATGAGAGGACAGAGAAAAGGAGGGAGAGAGTTGAAAGAGAGAGTGAGAGTTTAGGGAAAATATACTACTACTACTCCCTGATTTTCCCAGCCAATAGGAGGAGAGGCTGTGCCTCATACACAGGGGATGTTTACCCTCTGGGTGTTTATGCCACACCATCTGACCCCAAACAGCCTCTCCACCCTTTATCAAAACCTACAGTACACCCACCCCTGCATCAAACGATGAATGCTATGGGCAAGCACCTCCAGGGTGATCCTTCCACTGACTGTCAGAACTTACACACACTTCTGGGCTAAAGAGATAGAACAGCAGAGACAGGCTGGGATATGAGAGAAGACAGACTGAGAGGGGCTTTAGTATGATGGGAATCTGTCGTGAGAATGAGTCCAGATAGGATTGGAGCCACTCTTTCTCTCGTGGAGTGTGTCTTTAGTGTTTCACAGCAAACCCCCTAGACCAGGGCTGCATAACCCTCTTCCTGGAGATCTACTGTCCTGTAGGTTTTCAGTCCAACCCTAATGTAGCATATCTGATTCAGGTAGTTAAGGTCTTGTTGAGCAGCTAATAAGTAGAATCAGGTGTGTTAAATTAGGGACTGAAAACCCACAGGACGGTAGATCTCCAGGAAGAGGGTTGGGCAGCCCTGCCTTAGACCGTACAGTAGGTCTATAGGTCTTCTCTCTGGCACCATCAAGTAACACCACCAGGGGCATAAGCACGCGACCTCCAAAACATAAAACTACTACCACTAGAGAATAACTAACTTTGCACAAAGGCAAAAGCCTACCAACACTACAACCACCTCTGACTTTCTGTTCCCCAGCTGGTGGTAGGGGTTGTTGAGATGCCAATGCGTGCTCAGAACTCTTAGTTCACATGTAGGTCAGACAACCAGGGGGAGGATGTCGCCGCTCAATTAATTCCTTCACCATTCACCACATCGACTAGGCTGACTACTGTGGACAGTGAGATTAAAAACATGACCCTCTGAGTGCTGCTGTAGTGGTGAAGCAGGTATGTCTACTCTGATGTCTCTCCTCTGGTCTCCCCATAAACCCAGACGGGTGACCATATGCCTTTTTAGGAACTTTTAAGAACTGTACACTACATTCTTTACCTTTCAGTGCTATCTTAGGAAAACCCCTTAAATACTTTCTAAATGCAGTAACAAATCACTTTATGTGGCTCACCAGATACTAGTTTATCATGATGAAGGTCATTCATAACTCAAGCCAATGTACAGTAGCTGCTGTACTTCCGTCCTGTTATTCCAACATTAACTTTTTGGGAAGGTAATTTCTCTGTTCTGTCCAGCGATTGAGTAGCGAGGACATTTGCCCAGTGTCTGCAGTGAATGTGGTCTGTATAACTGAGTGATATCAAATTCTAGGAAGCTAATGTAAGAGTTAGTTCTGCCTCCATCCTTTGACCAAGTCACCTATGTCTCACGGTTCCCTGACTTGAGTTTAAATGAGTCAGTCATCTATCAACTGTAACTGCATTTCATTAGGCAATGAATGTGCTCTGTATAGCCTATGTCAGTATTGGAAAAATAAACTTGCATGCTTCTCAATGTTTTAATGGATCTTACAAACCCATGTTTGTAACCTGCCCCTTTGCTAAAATGCAATTAAGATCTTTCTGTATTACGGCTTTTTAAAATACAGTAACTCTGCAAATGAATTGCCTTTTGGGGATGACTCTCTTGTCAAGTTGTCCCTGTATAACACTTTTTAACTGTTCCACTGCCCCTGTCCCCTGTCCCTGTAGGACTGTCCCAGCAGGCAGGAGATGCAGAGCTCCCTAAAGCAGGTCCAGAAGCTGCTGTCGACCCATGAAGCTGCATATCTTCAGAGCCTCCGCACCCTGAGGAAGAAACTCAACTTGCTACAGAACACAGCCACCAAACAGACTGGCAAGGCAAACAATGGTAAGTCTGCACACAGCCCAAACATCAGTCAAAGAAGCAACGTGTAGCCTAACATTTTAGCCAAAGGCTTAAATTCGATTTTTAATGATACTGAAACACCTAAAATGGCTATTAGTAGGCCTGCTGCTCTTTATTTTAGAATCCAAAAAACATCAGTTGCAAGGATGTGAAGAAGTTTTGTATTACTAATGTTTTTGCTATTGTTGTCAACCTCGTGAATGAGAACCAATCGTGATTCAGTAAGTTGTGTAGGCCTACACACAGCAACAGCCGGACCGACTAGTCGCGGTAAAAATGCTAATTAGCTGTAAAAATGCTGTTAACAGCGTCACGCTGCGTTCTAAAAATGTTTACTCTCGTGGATTATTATTCCTTTGCTACTACTGGTATGTAATTTGACTTTTGGTGGATAACAGTTACATTTAGCTCCTATTTAACTATGGCTGGAGAGTTAAGTCTTGGCTTATGTCGCCCTATCAACCATCCCCCTCGCTTTACAGGTACCTGTCTAAAGCTGGACACGCCTGCCAATGGCAGGAAGTTGGGAAAAGCGCAGACCCCAGGTCACGAGGTTCACTTCCTGTGTGATGCGGGTTATGAGTTGGTGGGAGCAGAGAGCAGGGTGTGTCAGGAGAGCCTCACCTGGAGCGGCCAGCAGCCCACCTGCCGCAGTGAGTGACCCTACCATCTGCTACAGATTACCCTACCCCTAATCCAAACCTTAACCATTAGGGAGATTAACACATATCTGATGTGAAATCACTGTCTTTTGTCAGCTACCATCTACTTCTTCTCTTTCTCTGGCTCCTGTCTGGTGTCTCTTCCTCCCCCACCATTTCTCTTCTCCTTCCCTCTTCTATGCCCCGTCACTCATCTCTTTATCTGCTCTACCCATCTCTCTCATGTCCTTGTCACCATCGTCTTTGTGCCCCCCTCTCTTTTCTTTATCTCTCTTTCCCTCGTTTTAAACTTCATGCACATTACTAACATTTATCTAGATAAAATGGCTTGCATCCATATACGTTTCATTATCAAATTTCCTTTTTATGTATTTTCGTGGCCATCCAGGAGGGGTTATTGAATCCAGTGACTGTGACACATAGTGATAGCAGCCCTCTATGTCTTGACAGCTCGTTAACATTTAGATAACGCTTCAAAGATGTTTTGTGAGACTAAAAGTCAGGCCATCCCTTTCGCTCTGGTTAGGTCGAATACTCTCACACACACACACACACACACACACACACACACACACACACACACACACACACACACACACACACACACACACACACACACACACACACACACACACACACACACACACACACACACACACACACACACACACACACACACACACACACACAGAGAGAGAGAGAGAAAGAAGGAGCTTTTCTCTTTTGGTTCATGCATCAGAGCTATAAGGTTCCACATGTCAGTGAGTTAGCTAGCCAACATTTACATCAGGGCTAATATGACTTCATTCTCCTCACCTGACTAATCCCTTACTCCTCCTGTCTTTCCTCAGACATAAATGAGTGTGCCTCGTCTCCCTGTCTGAATGGGGGGATGTGTGTGGATGAGGTGAACCAGTTCTCCTGCACGTGTACCAAAGGCTGGGCCGGAGCCACCTGCCAGAGCCCTATGCCAACATGTAGGTAGAGATGCTTAAGCAATAAGGCCCAAGGGGGTGTGGTATATTGGCCAATATACCACGGCTAAGGGCTGTTCTTACGCACGACGCGAAGTGGAGTGCTTGGATATTGGCCATATACAACAAACCCCTTGAGGTGCCTTATTGCTATTATAAACTGGTTACCTACATAAATAGAACAGTAAACAAGTGTTTTTACATCATACTGTCTGATATACACATGGCTGAAAAGCTGTTTCAGCCAATCAGCATCCAGGACCCAAACTATGCGGTTTATAATACCCACTAGGTCATGACCTCTGGGTGTATACAGCACGCTATGTTCTGAAGTGTGTGTTGCACAATGAGTACAAGGTAGGGTATGACTTGAATATAAATACAAGCAATAGCGCAGAACCATGACTTACAGTCTCTCTCTATGCTATGGCTAACTACTGTAGTAACAACACACAAGGGCCAGACACCGAGATAGACCCAGGTCCACTCCCTCTCGCTGGTTCTGGCCGGCTGGGCTATCATACACACTCAGGGCTCCAGGCAGAGCCAGTGAATCAATACGGCCCAGTTAGGTTTTGTTTTTCTCTGTCTGTTTGTTTTAATTTCTCCCCTACAGTACACTACTGTAGGTGAGAGCTACACACAGACTAATGGGGATTTAGATGGACTTTGACAATGACGAACACTGCTGGCACTGTGTGGGAGATTTCTATAAGTCCATCATCCCACGCACACACAGCCCACTAATAGAGGGCTGCATGGTGCAATGGATGTGAACACTGAGCCCAATAAATGTTATATAGCTGTGGTATATGGGGAAGCATTGGCCAACACTGCTGGGAAACTACAGTGTTGCATAAAGTGTTGCATGAAAGACCCATGGGGCGGCGCACAATTGGCCCAGCGTCATCCAGGGTAGGGGAGGGAATGGCCGGCGGGGATGTAGCTCAGTTGGTAGAGCATGGTGTTTGCAACGCCAGGGTTGTGGTTTCGACCCCCCCCCAAAAATAATGTATGCACTCACTAACTGTAAGTCGCTCTGGATAAGAGCGTCTGCTAAATGACGTAAATGTAAATGTAAGGTTTCATTTAAAAAAGTTGAATGTAGCCTAACTTAAGTTGCAAGTCAGTCCAATCCAGTGTTGTAGTACTCGAGTCCGGTGTCGAGACTACATTTTGAGTGTCTCGGTCTTGTTTCGTGTCGGATACATTTATACACGGTCTTGCGTATGTATGGGTGGGCATAGATGGACACAGGCCCACCCACTGGGGAGCCAGGCCCACCCAATCAGATTGAGCAAAACCAGAAAAAGAATACATTATTATTATAAAAATACTCCCCCACCCCCAAAAATATATTTATTTGTATTTTTCCCAGACCTCCAAAATGGTATCCTGGTGTGGTTTAAGCATTGTTGTGGACATAGAACATCACATTTTTGTTGTTTTTCCATTTAAAAAAAGGTGATTTAGAGAGTTCAAATGTGAAAAACATATAGGAATACTAATAAAAAACCATAGAAAAACATATGATTTTTCACACAGGGTGCCTTTCCTTTGCTGGGCAGGTCGTTTGGAAAAATGTTTTTTAGCAAGATTTGAGTATGCCCACTTCTCCAGGCTCCACTACACCACTGCATAGGGCTGATGGAAAGACAGCTGTCACACACAGCATGATGTTATAGGATAAGCAGTCCATTCACTCAGACATAATAAGCCAGTAGGTCCCAATCATAAGAATACAAAAACACAACCATTAGGTTAAGCATTTCCTAATCGAAATGTACAACTATTACTTCCCATTGCAAAAAAACATTTCACGTTTAGCACACAAAGTAGCCGGTGACCTAAAGTTTAAACGTAACAATGTTTCACACATAAGTTATTTTCAAAGAGATGGCTAACAACAGCAAGCGAGCTGCATAAAAAAAACAGTTCCACTCACTAGATTAAGATCATTTGAAGCTTAACTTGTTGTTGAAAGTTATTCTTGAAAAGGGAGAAGCTAACAAATTAGCAACAACATCCTCTTCGATAACACCTGCTACAGTCACTGCAAACTAGCCTACAACAAAAGATAGCGAGCTACACCATGGGAAAACTACTGCTTGCTATTGCGCAGTGACTTGTTGGCCTTTGAGAAGGCATAAGTTTCTATTTGTTTTTTGTAATAACGGTCCCACCCATTACAAGTCACAATGTGATTGGTTGATTCCACTGTCACTCCAAAATGTTGTCCTAATACAGTTGAACGGCAGATGCCTTCTATCTAGCTTCTGATGGCCTAGCCAATGGCTGACTTCCCTAGCTAGATTTATCTCCCCAGAGACCACTAAAGAAAAATCCTGAGTGGATCTTTTTTTCTCTTCAGCGTTAACCCTTTCCTTTCCAACAAAAACTGAAGAGATTAAATCAGAACATCATTGAAAAGAATAATGTAATTAGAATGATCATTGTTATTATAATTATTTTATACATCTTTAGCCATTCTCTGAAGGTGTAGAAGGCCCTCATTGTTCCCCACTGTGTTCGGGTTAGTATTAATTTGTAGAGTGGCTCTATTTCCCTCAGCATAAATTTTTTCACCATTCTGAAATAATCCATATTTTCTTCTGAAATATGAACACAGAAATACTGGGCATTTTGAACTCTTATTATGGTGGCGATTTGACAAAATTACAATCATGGTCTTGAATTGGACTCGGTCTTGACTTGGTCTCGGACCCCTTGTCCCCCTCCCGGTCTCGGTCTTGACTCGTTCTTGCCCCCCCCCCCCCCCCCCCCCCCCCCCCCCCCCCTCCGGTCTTGGTCTCGATTTGCTCCTGTCTTGGTCTTGAATTGGTCTCGCTTTAGGTGGTCTCGAACACAACACTGGTCCAAACACTGTGGTTACCCTGTGAACAAATAGTTAGTCTGTTACTCTTTGTTCACATGGTAACCATAGTGTTTTATAAAGAAATAAGCTGCACTGTACCAATTTGAAGATGGAGATGTTTAGATGGCCATGCCCTCAGACTGCAGTCAGAAACCTCCAAATCAATGAGAATCGTCCTTAGTTTTACTCTTCTCCTCATTCCTCTCTTTCTTTTTCTCCAGTCTTTGTCACCATGACGAACACCTCCTCTGCCACCTCCTCTGCGGCTGCTGCCCTCTCTCCCCCGGCTGTGACTGTTGGTCCGCTTGTTCGTCCGTCTCGCTGTACGCAGGTCCAGGGCACCACTCACTGCACCTGTGACCCCGGATACACCATCTCTGGGCGCGACAGCACCACCTGCACAGGTACACCGCAAACAGCTACCATTACATTTACATTACATTTACGTCATTTAGCAGACACTCTTATCCAGAGAATTGGTGCATTCACCTTATGATAGCCAGTGGGACAACCACTTTACAAATATTTGTAAAATAATTTTTTAAAAGTATTTTATTTATTTATATTTTGTGGGGGGGGGGTGGTAGAAGGATTACTTTTATACTATCCCAGGTATTCCTTAAAGAGGTAGGGTTTCAAGTGTCTCCGGAAGGTGGTCAGTGACTCCGCTGTCCTGGCGTTGTGAGGGAGCTTGTTCCACCATTGGGGTGCCAGAGCAGCGAACAGTTTTGACTGGGCTGAGCGGGAAATGTGCTTCTGCAGAGGTAGGGGGACCAGCAGGCCAGAGGTGGAAGAACGCAATGTCCTCGTTTGGGTGTAGGGACTGATCAGAGCCTGAAGGTAAGTAGGTGCCGTTCCCCTCACAGCTCCGTAGGCAAGCACCATGGTCTTGTAGCAGATGTGAGCTTCAATTGGAAGCCAGTGGAGTGTGCGGAGGAGCGGGGTGACGTGAGAGAACTTGGGAAGGTTGAACACCAGACGGGCTGCAGCGTTCTGGATGAGTTGTAGGGGTTTAATGGCACAGGCAGGGAGCCCAGCCAACAGCGAGTTGCAGTAATCCAGACGGGAGATGACAAGTGCCTGGATTAGGACCTGTGCCGCATCCTGTGTAAGGTAGGGTCGTACTCTGCGAATGTTGTAGAGCATGAACCTACAGGATCGGGTCACCGCTTTGATGTTAGCGGAGAATGACAGGGTGTTGTCCAGGGTCACGCCAAGGTTCTTTGCACTCTGGGAGGGGGACACAACGGAGTTGTCAACCGTGATGGTGAGATCATGGAGCGGGCAGTCCTTCTCCGGGAGGAAGAGCAGCTCCGTCTTGCCGAGGTTCAGCTTGAGGTGGTGATCCGAAATCCACACTGATATGTCTGCCAGACATGCAGAGATGCGATTCGCCACCTGGTTATCAGAAGGGGGAAAGGAGAAGATTAATTGTGTGTCGTCTGCGTAGCAATGATAGGAGAGACCATGTGAGGATACAGTGGGGGAAAAAAGTATTTAGTCAGCCACCAATTGTGCAAGTTCTCCCACTTAAAAAGATGAGAGAGGCCTGTAATTTTCATCATAGGTACACGTCAACTATGACAGACAAAATTAGAAGAAAAAAAAATCTGGAAAATCACATTGTAGGATTTTTAATGAATTTATTTGCAAATTATGGTGGAAAATAAGTATTTGGTCAATAACAAAAGTTTCTCAATACTTTGTTATATACCCTTTGTTGGCAATGACACAGGTCAAACGTTTTCTGTAAGTCTTCACAAGGTTTTCACACACTGTTGCTGGTATTTTGGCCCATTCCTCCATGCAGATCTCCTCTAGAGCAGTGATGTTTTGGGGCTGTCGCTGGGCAACACGGACTTTCAACTCCCTCCAAAGATTTTCTATGGGGTTGAGATCTGGAGACTGGCTAGGCCACTCCAGGACCTTGAAATGCTTCTTACGAAGCCACTCCTTCGTTGCCCGGGCGGTGTGTTTGGGATCATTGTCATGCTGAAAGACCCAGCCACGTTTCATCTTCAATGCCCTTGCTGATGGAAGGAGGTTTTCACTCAAAATCTCACGATACATGGCCGCATTCATTCTTTCCTTTACACGGATCAGTCATCCTGGTCCATTTGCAGAAAAACAGCCCCAAAGCATGATGTTTCCACCCCCATGCTTCACAGTAGGTATGGTGTTCTTTGGATGCAACTCAGCATTCTTTGTCCTCCAAACACGATGAGTTGAGTTTTTACCAAAAAGTTATATTTTGGTTTCATCTGACCATATGACATTCTCCCAATCCTCTTCTGGATCATCCAAATGCACTCTAGCAAACTTCAGACGGGCCTGGACATGTACTGGCTTAAGCAGGGGGACACGTCTGGCACTGCAGGATTTGAGTCCCTGGCGGCATAGTGTGTTACTGATGGTAGGCTTTGTTACTTTGGTCCCAGCTCTCTGCAGGTCATTCACTAGGTCTGTGTCACGCCCTGGCTCTGGGGACACTGTTATGTTGAGCCAGGGTGTGTAGATCTATGGGTTTTGTTTCTATGGGTGTTTATTTCTATGTTGGCCAGAGTGACTCCCAATCAGAGGCAACGAGTGTCAGCTGTCGTGGGTTGTCTCTGATTGGGAGCCATATTTAAACTGTCTGTTTTTCATTCGGGTTTGTGGGATTTTGTTCTATTTTGGTTTGTGTAAAACGGTAGACATCACGTTATCGTCTGTTGTTTTGATCGTGTGATCATTCCAATTTAATAAATATGTTCGCTTTCAACGCTGCGCCTTGGTCCTCCTCATTGGTAGACGATCGTGACAGTCTGGTTCTGGGATTTTTGCTCACCATTCTTGTGATCATTTTGACCCCACGGGGTGAGATCTTGCGTGGAGCCCCAGATCGAGGGAGATTATCAGTGGTCTTGTATGTCTTCCAGGTCCTAATAATTGCTCCCACAGTTGATTTCTTCAAACCAAGCTGCTTACCTATTGCAGATTCAGTCTTCCCAGCCTGGTGCAGGTCTACAATTTTGTTTCTGGTGTCCTTTGACAGCTCTTTGGTCTTGGCCATAGTGGAGTTTGGAGTGTGACTGTTTGAGGTTGTGGACAGGTGTCTTTTATACAGATAACAAGTTCAAACAGGTGCCATTGATACAGGTAACAAGTGGAGGACAGAGGAGCCTCTTAAAGAAGAAGTTACAGGTCTGTGAGAGCCAGAAATCTTGCTTGTTTGTAGGTGACCAAATACTTATTTTCCACCATAATTTGCAAATAAAATTCATTAAAAATCCTACAATGTGATTTTCTGGAAAAAAAATTCTCAATTTGTCTGTCATAGTTGACGTGTACCTATGATGAAACTTACAAGCCTCTCTCATCTCATCTCAAGTGGGAGAACTTGCACAATTGGTGGCTGACTAAATACTTTTTCCCCCCACTGTATGACATAGCCAAGTGACTTGGTGTATAGAGAGAATAGGAGAGGGCCTAGAACTGAGCCCTGGGGGACACCAGTGGTGAGAGAATGTGGTGCGGAGACAGATTCTCGCAACACCACCTGGTAGGAGCGACCTGTCAGGTAGGACGCAATCCAAGAGTGATCAGCGCCAGAGATGCCCAACTCGGAGAGGGTGGAGAGGAGGATCTGATGGTTCACAGTATCAAAGGCAGCAGATAGGTCTAGAAGGATGAGAGCAGAGGAGAGAGAGTTAGCTTTAGCAGTGCGGAGAGCCTCCGTGACACAGAGAAGAGCAGTCTCAGTTGAATGACCAGTCTTGAAACCTGACTGGTTTGGATCAAGAAGGTCATTCTGAGTGAAATAGCAGGAGAGTTGGCTATAGACGGCACGCTAAAGAGTTTTGGAGAGAAAAGAAAGAAGGGATACTGGTCTATAGTTGTTGACATCGGAGGGATCGAGTGTAGGTTTTTTGAGGAGGGGTGCAACTCTCGCTTTCTTGAAGATGGAAGGGACATAGCCAGCGGACAAGGATGAGTTGATGAGCGAGGTAAGGTAAGGGAGAAGGTCTCCGGAAACGGTCTGGAGAAGAGAGGAGAATATAGGGTCAAGCGTGCAGGTTGTTGGACGGCCGGCCATCACAAGTCGCAAGATTTCATCTGGAGAGAGGGGGGAGAAAGAAGTCAAAGCATAGAGTAGGGCAGTGTGAGCAGGACCAGCGGTGTCATTTGACTTAATAAATGAGGATTGGATGTCGTCAACCTTCTTTTCAAAATGGTTGACGAAGTCATCCACAGAGAGGGAGGAGGGAGGGGGAGGAGGAGGAGGATTCAGCAGGGAGGAGAAGGTGGCAAAGAGCTTCCTAGGGTTAGAGGCAGAGGCTTGAAATTTAGAGTGGTAGAAAGTGGCTTTAGCAGCAGAAACTGAGGAAGAGAATGTAGAGAGGAGGGAGTGGAAAGATGACAGGTCCGCAGGGAGTCTAGTTTTCCTCCATTTCCGCTCGGCTGCCCGGAGCTCTGTTCTGTGAGCTCGCAATGAATCGTCAAGCCACGGAGCAGGAGGGGAGGACCGAGCCGGCCGGGAGGATAGGGGACACAGAGAGTCAAAATATTCAGAGAGGGAGGAGAGGAGGGTTGAGGAGGCAGAATCAGGAGATTGGAGGGAGAAGGATTAAGCAGAGGGAAGAGATGATAGGATGGAAGAGGAGAGAGTAGCGGGAGAGAGAGAGCGAAGGTTGCGACGGCACATTACCATCTGAGTAGGGGCAGAGTGAGTAGTGTTGGAGGAGAGCGAGAGAGAAAAGGATACGAATTAGTGGTCGGAGACTTGGAGGGGAGTTGCAGTGAGATTAGTAGAAGAACAGCATCTAGTAAAGATGAGGTCAAGCGTATTACCTGCCTTGTGAGTTGGGGGGGACGGTGTGAGGGTGAGGTCAAAAGAGGAAAGGAGTGGAAAGAAGGAGGCAGAGAGAAATGAGTCAAAGGCAGACGTAGGGAGGTTAAAGTCACCCAGAACTGTGAGGGGTGAGCCATCCTCAGGAAAGGAACTTATCAAGGCGCCAAGCTCATTGATGAACTCTACAAGGGAAGTTCTGTCTCTTGCCTCTAGTTAGTGTCTGGTCTATTAGCGATGTTACCAAACAGACTAGTTCTGTCTCTTGCCTGTAGTTAGCGTCTGGTCTATTAGCGATGTTACCAAACAGACTAGTTCTGTCTCTTGCCTGTAGTTAGTGTCTGGTCTATTAGCGATGTTACCAAACAGACTAGTTCTGTCTCTTGCCTCTAGTTAGTGTCTGGTCTATTAGCGATGTTACCAAACAGACTAGTTCTGTCTCTTGCCTCTAGTTAGTGTCTGGTCTATTAGCGATGTTACCAAACAGACTAGTTCTGTCTCTTGCCTCTAGTTAGCGTCTGGTCTATTAGCGATGTTACCAAACAGACTAGTTCTGTCTCTTGCCTCTAGTTAGTGTCTGGTCTATTAGCGATGTTACCAAACAGACTAGTTCTGTCTCTTGCCTCTAGTTAGTGTCTGGTCTATTAGCGATGTTGCCAAACAGACTAGTTCTGTCTCTTGCCTCTAGTTAGTGTTAAGTTGTGTCAATTCAAATCTGGTATTGGAACAAAAAGAGGTCAATAAACGTCTTCTAAAATAGACTAGTATTTTAATTAATGCAAAACACTTCAATGGTAAATATGATGTTCGTATATATGGGTCCACTGAAATACCATGCAGGGCAGACAGAGAACTGGTCCATTGTTATAAGTTATTCTTTAAATACTCTGACAGAGATAGTTCCTGCTCCAAGCAGGCCTATCAGAGTAGAGACTGAGCGTGGTTTAGACTTACTCAGCCTATCGTTGGCGCACAGGCTGGTCCCAGCCCCTTGGCGCTTCACTGTTGCCAGGTGTTTAGTTGTTTTGCAACTTGTCTCGAGTCAGCAACCTCAGACATCTTTGTAGCAGAACACATGTCCTTGAGCGTTCTAACAAAGAGGCAGTGTGTGTGTATGTGAGACACAAGTCTTATCTCAGCCTACCCCCTAATAGTTCCCGACATTAATCACAGCTTGTTATGTTGAACAGTCTATATCAGTACAGCACAAACCTATTATGTTTAATCATTAATGTATTCTTTCTAAGCTAACAGCACATCTAAAATATAAGAGAATAATTTCCCACATTAGTGTCTGGTCTGGTGTCTAGTGTCAAGTGTCTTGCTATGGTAACATCAAAAGACACACAGTCTGACCACATAATGTTATATAACTGACATCAATGGCAATTTTAACTGTGTGTTTATGTGTGTGTGTGTGTGTGTGTGTGTGTGTGTGTGTGTGTGTGTGTGTGTGTGTGTGTTTCAGACATTGATGAGTGTGAGTTGTTCCACATGGGTCAGGCTGGCCGGCTGTGTTTACATGCCTGTGTTAACACCCCTGGAGGATACCGCTGTACCTGTCCTGCTGGATACAATGTCACCCGCGACGGACGCAACTGCAAAGGTGAAGGGAGACCACACACACACACTGTACCAAAGTCTCAAATGCTCCACCAAAGTGTCATACGCGCACGCACACACACACACACACACACACACACACACACACACACACACACACACACACACACACACACACACACACACACACACACACACACACACAGTTATGCCAGATGAGTACTAAACATTTTAATAGTCTACCACAAAGAGAAAGAAGATAACTTGTCTGAATGATAATGAATGTTTCCTATTATTTCCAATATCCGTTTTATCAGTAATTCCATGCAATTCTGTTATCCATTGGCTGAATAATTGAACAAAACCATACATCTGGTCTGATGTTTGTTTTTGTAGACAATTACAATAAATCAGTTATTTTTCTGTCTCGCTCTCTATTTTCTCTCCCTCTCTTTTTATCTCTCCCTCCCTCACTTTTACACACATTATTCTCCCTCTCTTTTTATCTCTCCCTCCCTCAATTTTTCACACATTATTCTCCCTCTCTTTTTATCTCTCCCTCCCTCACTTTTACACACATTATTCTCCCTCTCTCCCTGTCCTGTAGACATAGATGAGTGTGCCACCAGACAGAATAACTGCACCCGGGACCAGCTGTGTATCAACACCTACGGAGGGTTCCAGTGTGTACGTGTGGACTGCCCCCGCATACGAAACGCCACCTACAGCAAAACCTCCCCCCTGTGAGTACCTTCTCTTATAGTTAATCAACAATAGATTTGATAACATGTAACTCTATCACTCTCTTGCAATAATACCCTCTCAATGCCTGCATCCTTTTCTCTTTCCCCGTTCCCCAGGCGTTGTGAGCGTAACCCCTGCTCTGTGGACAACAAGGTGTGCTCTCAGGCCCCTAACTCCATCTCCCACCACTACCTGTCTGTCGTATCCAACCTGTCGGCACCACGCACCATGTTCCGTGTGTCGGCCCTCCGCCTCATGGGCGACACGCTGCGTTTCTCCCTGCTAGGCCGCGGGCAGGCCAGACGCCACTTCACGGTGCAGCGGTCGGACCGTCAGACAGGCCAGCTGGTGCTGGGGAGCCCGGTGCAGGGCCCTGCTACACTGGAGGCTGAGGTGGAGATGACCGAGCTGGAGAAAGGGGTCCAGCTGGGGAGGTACATCACCAAGATCACCATGTTCATCTCCCAGTACGAGTTCTAGAGAGGGAGAGAGAAATAGAGGGATGTAGAGGGAGGAAATAAGAGAGGGAGTTGGATGGAGAATGGAGAAGGGAGGGGAGAGAGTGAATAGGTTGAAAGAGGGTGTGGGTATGGAGAGGAATACAAAGAGACAAGAGTTTAGATAAGAGTTTGGACGAGGGGCCGTTGGCAGAGGGGTGCATGAAAGGGGACTGTGGTAAGGGTTTTGGAGTGTCTAGGGCTGGGGGGCTGGGAGGGGGTTAGAGAGGGGTGAGGCACTAAGTCCTAACGAACAAAGAGGGACTAAAAGGAGGGGAAGAGGGAGTTGAAGTTGAGTTGAGACATACAGGTATGACAGGAACGGATGCATTTGGTTGTATCAATTCTAATGACAGAAAGGGAAGGGTTTAGGGGGGTTAGAAATTAACAATGGGGACACGGGGTCAGAGACATGAAAATGAGAAAATGGCATAGGATCACTACATAGGGAGAAACCCTCACCCACTTGTGGTGGAGATTGAATGTTTCCCACTGTAGCAGAGAGAGCGAGCAGGGCTTATAAATACTAGCTGAAGTCCTTAACTGGTTTTATTGTTTTACATCCAACATATGACAAAGTGACAATCAATATCTGTAAGATGAGAAGACATGAAGCTACACATCGACAATCCTATATTTCCTGGTCTTGTGTTAAACTTGCGTTGATATATTTATTTTGAAGGTGTTGTAAACCCCTGTTTGTTATCTGCTTTTTATTTATCTGAGAAAGCACTATTAAACATTTAATCCAAATAATACTGTATGATATCTATGGTTTCATTATTTAGTTTTCCTATATAGTTATGTCTCTGCACAGGACTGAATAAGGGGCTTGCCTTGAAGTGTGACCTGTAGATGATCTGTTCCTCATACAGGCTAAAACAGGAGTATGATGTACAGTATGAGTAATGCAGGTCTGGGGAAGACGTTGGGCATGGCAGTACAGAGCTACACTGTCCAGCAGACAGACAGACAGACACTCTGCTTAAAGAGCTACTATATCCTTACAGTATATGCATGAGCTAAACCAGCAAACACACACACACACACACTGTGTATATTCTTACTTAGTGAGATATGACGAATTGAAATGCTCTTTTCCACCTTTTTAGCACTGGGTGTTTGGGTGCTTAGGGGTGCATGCCTGTGTGTGTGTGTGTGTGTGTGTGTGTGTGTGTGTTTGTCAGGAGAGGTACTGTAGATCCGGCTGGTGTTGTTGTGGCGTGGGTTGTAGAGGAGGCTGATGAAATGTTTCACCCCTGTGTCAGGCTGCCCACAAAACCTTCCCCACTCTCTGCACTCAATCATCTGGACGGACGTGAAAACCCTAGTTAACACCACACCACACACAGGGCCAATGCCTCAGACACACACAAACAAGACCCATGTGAGCAGTGGTGTGAGAACACATACACACACGCTCTTACACAATAAATTACCAATTAGTGTATAACATATCCCACATGTACTCTATATAGACACTGATGTAGGTGTAGAGTGTGAGGGGTTAACCAGTCCAGTGCAGCCACACAGAGGCAGGCAGTGTGCCTCAGTGGCGACTAACAGGCACTAATACGCTGAACCCAGCCCCACCTCGGAGTCACACTGTTGGGCTGAGAGAGAGACGAGGAGGGGGCTCCCCTGGCCTGGCTGAGACCCACTAGGGGACCACAGGGGGGAGGGGGGAGGATCCCAAAATGAGATTGCACACAAAATGAGAGAGAGAGAGAGAGAGAGAGAGAGAGAGAGAGAGAGAGAGAGAGAGAGAGAGAGAGAGAGAGAGAGAGCTGAATAGAGTGGTCTGAATAGCAGGCAATTCACAGCGGTCAGTCAGTCAGTCATCGGCTGAGGACTGCTGTGAATTAAGAGACCAGTGTCTCTATTTCTGCTCTGAAAGAGACCCTCGCTGTTCTTCACTCTGTCTGTATCTCTCTCCCTTTCTGTCTTGATGAAATGAAGGGACAGAAAGAGAAAGGAAGAAAAGAGATGTATAGTTGAATGGCAGCCTGCCAATGTTGTCTGTCCCCGGGGGAGGAACAAAGCTGATGTGGTGATGAATCAGTCCCCATATCCTCTCTGACCCCCTCCACACCTCTCCTCTACTCACCCCCTCCTAACTCTGCTGTCTCTGCCCACCCAGGACTACCTGTATCTCACCCTGACCTCACTCCTCTTCTCTTTTCAATCTGTCTCAGAACCCACACAGACACATTAAAGGCCCAATGCAGCATTATTTTTAAAATATCAATATCAAATCATTTCTGGGTAACACTTAAGTACCTTACTGTAATAGATTTCCATTAAAATGGGCAAAAATTCTAAACTATTTGGGGAGGGGAAAACTGAAAACTAGCTGTTATTGGCAGAGAAGTTTGGAACTCTCTTTGCTATAGGTCTATTAACCAATTTACCGCATGGTGATGTCACCATGGAAAGCTGAAACTCCCACCCATGCAAACCTGCTAATTAGAAGGTCCTGTGTGGAAGATTGTATTTTAATCCAGCAACTATTAGGAGATAACGCTGCTAAATTTTTTCACAGTGTTAGTTTCATCAACTGTTGTACAATATTATATAAAAACAGAATTTTGACTGCACTGGGCCATTAAAACACAAGCATGGACAAACATGCATGAGCACCCAGGCACATGCACACACACACACACACACACACACACACACACACACACACACAGACACACACACCTGCCCTGGGTCTGAGTTGAAAACAGAGTCGGAAACAGTAGCGAGCGTTCCAGTACTCTTTATCTATTAGTAACCTTAGACCACCATTCCATTCCAACAACATCAAAGAGATCCAAGCTCTCTTCCTCTGTATCCCCCTACACATGCACGCGCGCACACACACACACACACAGTACAGCCAATAGGGTGCTCTGATGATTTAATCTATCACGGCCTGTCTGTGGGTGCCCATGTGTCAGGTCTAAGAAGCGTCTCTTCCTCCTCCACTCTCTTTTTGCTATCCCCTTCGCCTCTCCCCTTCGCTCTCGTTCCCTCTCGATTCTATATGATATATAAGATATATATGCTATCTCTCTATCCTCTATAATATTTCCCTTAACGTATATTCTCTCTTTATCTCTATCATACGCATCTACTATCTCTATCGCTAGAAGAGTCGATATAGAGAGAGGAGCAAGGAGGAAGAGAGGTCGAGAGAAGAGAGCGAGCAGGGAAAGGAGCGCGAGAGCGAGAGACGGAGAGAGGCGCAGCGCGAGAGCGAGAGAGAGAGCGAGCGCGCGAGAGACAAGAGCGCGGGAGAGAGTGAACTGAGAGAAGAGAGAGAGAAGAACGAGAGAGAAGGGGAGAGGGAAAGGCAGCAACATTGGAAAAGCTTTTTTTTTTTCACATTTGCAAACGGGAAAAAATTTTAAAAAAAAGAAATTTGGGAAGAGGGGTTTTAAAACCAGGAAAAACAAAGGGGAATAAAACCCCCCAAAAACCCACAAAAAAACCAAACCCCCAAACAAAAAAAAAACAAAAAAACCCCCCTGGGATTAAAACAGCGGAAAAAATAGGACCCAGCCACAGAACCTAGACCACCACTTTCCAAAAAACCAAAAACAACCCCCACCCCACAAAACCACCCCAACAAAACACAACAGCCTGGGTTTTGGTTGACATAAACCCTGGGGGGCCAAGGGGGGGTTAGAGGAAAATCCCCCCAAAAAACCCCCCACCCCCCGGGCAAAAAAAAGGGGGGAAAGGGCTTCAAAGGGTAAAGGGCGGGGGGCAGGAAGGGCGCGCGGAGAAGAAAAGGGGAGGAAAAAACAGCGGGGAGAAAGAGGGAAGGAACGGGGAAGAGAAAGACGCGGCGGGGAGACAAGAAATAAGAAAAGCAACAAACCCCAAAACCCCCCGGGGCCCCAACATGAGGGGGGATACACGCGAAGCGTCGATATAGAGAGGCGAGCGGAGAAGAGACGGATCCGAGAGAAGCAGAGGAGGCAGCAGAGCGCGCGCCGAGGACGGAGAGGGCGGGCGCGAAGACGCGCGACTCTCTCTCTCTTCTCTCTTTCCCTTCATCGCTCTCATCCTCCCTCTCTCTCTCTTCTCTCTTTCCCTTCATCTCTACTCCTCTCTCTCCCTCTCTCCCTCTCCTTCTCTCTTTCCCTTCATCTCTCTGCTCTGGCTGTCTGTCCTGCTGTCGTCTGTCTGTTGTCTGTCTGTCTGTCTTGTCTGTCTGTCTGTCTGATGTGGTGGATGAGTCACCCTCTGAGCAGATAAACCTCTGAGTGCCAGCAGTGCCAACTCTCTGAAATCAATATCCTCATTCCAGTGCAGCCTCCCCACACAATAAGAGTTTATACTGCTATAAGCCTTCACCTAGTCCTCTTTGAAGCCCCTCTCAGTCAGACATCAGATGTGTATGTGAAAGGGGACACTCCGTCCCTGTCATGGGTTTAAGGGAAGGAAGGAGAGTTGCGACCCAGACCCTTGTCTGTTGACTGGGCCCAGGTAAACTGAGACATGGACTAGCCAGAGTTTGGCTGGCACAGGCCCAACCTGGGTGGGCGCACAGGGCAGGTGAGGGGGGTTGGTATGCATGGCAGCAGTGCCCAGCTGTTACAATGGGAGGTCTGTGAGAGGTACAGCCGGGGCCAACAAAGCCCTGACTGTGCCCACGTCAGTCCCCCAGTCCTAGAGCCAGGAGCAGGTAACACATGCAGCCAGGTACGGCTAACAGGATGTGGGGGTGTAAGGAAGGTGGGTGTGGGGTGGTGGAAGGGGAAGAACTGTTCCGGAAGATGTCTGATCTGACCTCTAACTGTCCTTTACTCCTCTCTCCGGGATTCTGTTCTGAGTCTGTGTCATTCTCTATTCCTCTATTCCTCCCTTTCCTTCTCTCTCCCCCGTTCTCTTTTTCTCTATTGAAGGTGTTATGGAGGTGTTATGAATTCCCTGCCGGTGGCTGTTTTCAGCACCTCACAGCCCTTCCAAGCTGCACACTCCACTCCCAATCCCCCACGACCAGAGCCTGAGGGTCTAGAGGCACCATAGACCGGCCTCTCAAGCTTTCCCTGACCTGTGTGACCTGGCCCTCATTGATGGTTGCTAAGGGCCACATTGTTAGGGGCCAGGACACCACTTCAGACTGTGCAGGCCACTATCTCCTCACTTCTCTGAGTGGACTTGTGGATTGGAGTGCATGCAGAAAACCACATCCTTCCAACATC